ATATGTAACAGTGAAATGCAACGACAGTGATATTTTACATGCATGCATGCATACATAGTATCGACGTACATATAACACAACCTGACTGTAACATAACATAACATAACATCACATAACATAATATAACGTCACATAACATAATCTAACATAACGTAACATTAAATAATACAACATAACGCAACAATGTGTTGCATACAACGTCAGTTTACGTGGCGTCACTCTACATTACGTACACACGCACACACTACACATCTATGTATAAGATCAACGAAGACGAATCAAGAATCAGAGACATGCACGCGCAAGCTGTGACGCAAGGCACAATATACAGAAGAGTGGTGGAGTAACTCATCTCCACCTCACCATTCCTCACCCACTGTACGCAGAGAAAAGCTGTCGTCTCGATAATAAGGCCAAAACAAAATATAGGTGTGGTTACCGTTTCCCGACCGACCGATAGGCACATCCTTCGGACATGGTTCGTAAATAAAATGTTTCAATAAAATAAAATGTTTTCCCTACCTACCTACCCTATTTTTTTTCGGCATGAAACGGTAACCACACCTATATTTTGTTTTGGCCTAATTAAACAGAGTATTCGACGCATGTGGCATGCACTACATAGTTCAATAAATAAAATTACGCCTCCATCCCCCCATGTGCACGTGTGCCACTCCGTACATTACATCTTAGGGAGAGATTTCACCAGCAGATGGTGCCCGAATCATAGTAAAAAATTGGCAAAAACCACGAGGCAGGACTAGTAGTAGATTGGTAGAATCACGGGCGCAATAAACACACAAACCTAAACGCCAAACACCTAACCCTCGATAGGCAAAACAACATGGCATCCAGCGACTGCTCGCTGCCTACGGGCCGGCAAACAGTGGTGCACCCTGGTGGCGAGCAATCTCTCCCCTGCGTGCAAGAACACTCGGAGACATTTGACGATAAAAAAACAAATGAACGCACAAAGCGAAGTAATACTCCTATCACGAATTGACCGAAATGCAAACCTAGGTCTGAATTCCAGGCGGTGCCTACCAGGTGGAACATTCTAATTGGAACATCCCAGGTGGAACATTCTAATTGGAACATCCCAGGTGGAATATTCCGATTAGAACATCCCAGGTGGAATATTCCGATTGGAACATCCCAGGTGGAACATTACGATTGGAACATCCTAGGTGGAACATTCTAGTTGGAATATACTTTGTTAAAAATTCTAGCCATAAATTCCCAGGTAAAATAATCTGGTGAGAACATTCTGGGTGGAACATGCCGTGGCTTGGGGGTCTACTACAGGGACCCTAGTTTGCGTTGCTGTTCACGGGATGCACAATAATACTGTTCAAAATCATTAAAAACATTTCGGAGACTGCTGCAGGGACTAGCCCCAGCTGTCCTACTATTTATATATATATTTATTTATTATATATATATATATATATATATATATATATATATTTATTATATATATATATATATATATTTATTATATATATATATATATTTATATATAGCACATCACATATCAACCGGTTCCCTCACACTCTCCTACTCTATCTCGCGATATCTCATCACAGATCGTCGATGACTGATGTAGAACTAGACTATTTCTCTCTCTCTCTCTCTCCGCAGACCTCATCACAGACCTTTGACAACCCGCTCAATCTCCCCTGCTTCATCTAACGACGTCTCATCACAGACCTTTGACGACTTGTGTAGAACTAGAGTATTTTCTCTGACTTGCTTTGACCTGCCTTCGCTTCTACTTAGACACATAACGCTGTATCGGTTGTTCCCGATACCTGACCATAGGGGGCGCCCTTATGGGGGTGAGTAATCGGGCTAAACGTGCAACATAGCTATAGGTGGCGTCCATCTTGTGGTGGGCCTGTACCCTTCCTCCCGATCTCTTCCGTGTCTTCCACTTCTTATTTAAAATACATAGTCCGACGCCTTTTCTCGATCAATATTTCGCAAACTCCCCGCCCTCCGTACTTCCCAGACACGCATGACATCTCATTTCTAGGACAGTCCCATGATGAAGGGAGCCAGAAGGGGTATGCCATTCACTCTCCCACCCACACGTAACCCGACCTTCCGAGACCTGACCGCCGCGTCCAACTCTCACCCGCTCTTCGAGTCGCGGACGTCGTTCGATCGTCGGCCGCCGCCGCCGCCGCCGCCGCGTGGAGCCACCGGTCATTTTCGCACGTGCTGCGCGAACCCTCGCGTGTTCTGCTCCGACGATATCAGCTCCTCCTGCAGCAGCTGCAGCGTCGCCATCAGCGACGCCTTCTCCTGCTCCAGCAGCCGCACGTCGCCGTGGCAACCCTCCATCGCCCGCGTCAGACTCTCGTTGTCCTGCTGCAGCCGCGCGGCGGCGGCGGCGCCGATCGAACGACGTCCGCGACTCGAAGAGCGGGTGAGAGTTGGACGCGGCGGTCAGGTCTCGGAAGGTCGGGTTACGTGTGGGTGGGAGAGTGAATGGCATACCCCTTCTGGCTCCCTTCTCATGATCATGGGACTGTCCTAGAAATGAGATGTCCTGCGTGTCTGGGAAGTACGGAGGGCGAGGAGTTTGCGAAACATCGATCGAGAAAAGGCGTCGGGCTATGTATTTTAAATAAGAAGTGGAAGACACGGAAGAGATCGGGAGGAAGGG